CACATATATATAAAAAAAAATTTAAGTTTAGAGAAAAAAGTAGTTTTACTCAAATAGTTTGAGAGTGTAGGGAGAATCGGTTGCATCATTTGCAACACGTCACTATCAGCCAATCAGAAACTCCTGGAGAACTGGTGCTGATGCAAAGAAAAGCACGAGTCGACTCACATTGAGAATCCGATCGCCGGGACACACTGAACCGTCTCTGGCCGCGGGACTGCCTGGAGAAACAGACGACACAAACACGCCGCTCTCCAACCCAACACCACAATCTGAGAGACAGACAGAGAGAGAGAGAGAGATGTATAACAGAGATGAGGATCTGCTGGACGTCCAGAAAGACAAAGACCCTCGATCTCACCTTTATGTCCCGCCAGCGTCAGATGAACAGAAGTGACCATCCGTCCTCCCAGAGACTTCCTCCTGCGTACCACCATGTTGATGACTCCGCCCCCGCTGAACACCGCCTTTATGACCTGCTTCCTGTCCTTATTGGCCAGATCCACGTCATTTATCTTCAACAACCAATCATTCACTCTGCCGTAAGAATAAACACTGGTTAGAATCGCACATGAGTGTTTCACAGGAGACACCGAAAGCAGAGTCCGCCTACCTCAACCTGCCCTCCGCAACACTTCCTTTGTCCACCTTGCTCACGAATATCCCATAATCCCCGGGTAGATACGGGTCGCTCACACCCTCGGCGATATCAAAGCCCAAAGCACTCAAATCCATGTCGTCCTGTACGTCAGATCAGAGACGGTGAGGTGTTGAACTGTTGAATTTGGAGGTTCGTCACAGCTGTGATGACTCGATTACGTACCGTACTCCTCTCAAACTCCACCGTCTCCGTCTCCCACTCCAGAGAGTCCGTATCGATCGCAGAGTCGTGAGAATTGTGGGCCATCAGCTGGCGGAAACGCGCCTCCTTCTCCAGCTGCTCCTCCATGCATTCCCTGAGCACACATTTACTTACTTCATTTACCTCAACCTGATCACTCAGCGGCTCTGAGACGGATTCATGATTCAGAATCAGAGTCATTTGTTTGGGAATCAAACTACTTTGATCACACTTGTTCGTTTCTTTTGCCATGGTGTTGTAGAATTAGACTGTAATTGTTGTAGACTTTGAGAATCCCAATTTGTCAAATATAGTCAGAACATTTAGACTAAATTCAACTAACTAAACCAAAAAAATAACAAAGTTTTTTTTTTAAACAGGCGTGTGATCAAAATGACAAAAATGAAGGGAAACGTGTTTTTATGATACAATAATAATAATTTAAATTATAAAAAATTTAAATCAAGAAATATTACTATTGCAATAATACTGTTGTATTGAAAAATGAACATTTAATAATAATAACAATAATAATAATAAATAACACAACATTTAGACTAAATTCATCTAACTAAACCAAAAACACTTTCATTTCATTTAAAGCATAGCGATAAACAGCAGTATTTAAATTATGATTTAGTTAGTTAATTTAATTAATATTGTATATAACTGTAAATGTATAAATGTATATAAAACTAAATAAATATTATCTGTTTAAATATTTTTAACTAAACAAACAAAATAATTTTTTATACTTATATGTATATATTTACAAAATTATTACAGTAGTCAACATTTGAAGTGGATCAAAACCTTTCATCAAAGTTGTCCTAAAACCAAAACAATACCCGTTCTTTTTTGATCCACTTCAAATGTTGATACTACTGTATATACTTATTATTTACATATGTATTAGTTATTTAGATTCATATTTAATGTAATATTTAGTGAATTTATGTTTTAATTGATTAATGAATGCGCTGTAGGAAACTTTCTCGAATCATTAGCAGAACCGAACATCTGCTAGCTGCACTGATGTGATCGTGTGTGTTTGGAGACTCACTTGAGCTCCTTCAGTTCCCGCACCGCGTCGTTCTTCTGTTTGCGCAGGTCGTCCAGGTTTCTCAGAGCGTCGGCGAGATCGCTCACGGCTCGGTCCCTCTCACGACGCAGGTTATCACACAACGTCCTGATACACACACACACAGTAAATATACAGCTTCTGTTCTTTGGACTTTATGAACACTACTGGCCCTGCTTTATGGAGCTAAAATAGTCTCACAATTAATGCATTTACATATGTAAGATAATTCAATGTGTAAGATAATTCTCATTCACAAAATACAATTTGCCAATCCTCAACAAACATTTTTTTGTGAATGAGCTCACACATTTGACAGTCACACTTTATATATTATTTTATATATTAATAATTAAATATATGAATTAATGTATTCACATAATATTAAAAAAAATATTCATTTTGAGAACATTTTAAAATTATGTTTACATCTTTTATTAATATGAATCTCGGGTTTAAAAATGAAAAATTATGAGGACATATTTCTTCATATGACGCATATTTGACATTACACTCTTGAACTGATGTGGGCCAAAGACGAGACGTTTGGTCTTTGCATCAAATTAGATTTACAAAAGTAATTTTATATACACAGAAATCATATTAAATGCAAGTGAAGTGTCCACGTCAATGTTTCAAAAACTTTTGTGAAAATAAAATATCAAAATATGGGTGAAATATTGTTCCATTGTCATTCAACGTAACAATGTACAACGTAAAATGAAACTACATACTTATTCTGACCTGTCCTTATTAAAATACAGAAAATAAAATGTGATCATTTTAATTTTGTGGTGTGATCTGTGAATCTAATGATTCTTGTTCCAAATATGCCTGACAAAAAATTTTTGGTATATAAACTACTGTTTTTGTTTGCTTTCACATTCTAACATACATTTAAAAAAAAAAAGCTGTATTAAACTTTTGTTTTGATGCTGGTCTTTGACTCGTGTCTGTCAGAATGAGAGGTGTAAGAGGATGTTGTCATTGCACCGTATGCTCTCTCTCTCTGCCACGATCTTGTCTCTCTCCTGGAAGGCCCAGTCTCTGCGGCATTTGGCCACCTCTGCCTCCTGCACAGACTCCTGGAGCTCCTCCGAAACGGCCTCGCACTGCTTCCTCAGGATCTCCAGCTCCTTACTGACACGCTCTATGTCCAGCGTCGCGCTGTCCTGCTTCTGCAGGGAGACAAATCTGATTAAACAAGACCCCTGATGAACATATGTAAGTCCGGGTTTAAAGTCAGTCTGACTCAGTGCACCTGTCTGGCCTGATAATACTCCCTCAGGAGCTGGTCTCTCTGGATGATGGCCTCTGTTCGCTCTTTACGGGCCACGTCGCGCTCCTCTCGCACCATCTCGATGTCCTTACAGGCCTGGCTCAGCTCTTTCTGCGTCTCGGCCTTGTCCTGCACCTCGTGACAGTATTTCTCCAGCAGCTCGGTCTTCTCCCGGATCGCTCGGTCTCGGTCCAGCAGAGCCGAGTTCAGCTCCTGCACACATAATGCAACATACGTCACACCACCAGTAATTCTGCATGACAAAGAGGCAGTGCCTAAATAACCCTAAATATGAGCAACAGTGATTATTGCCGGAGCAAAAACACTGTGGAATTATCCACCTAATTTTTCCTGTAAGAGCTTCCTCTGTCATCCACTTCCAGCTATTTTTAGCTGTACAAAACCGTTCGTTTTGCTGCTCGATATCGTAAACTGGTGTGTCTTACCATATTATTTTAATGTATTGCCTTAATTATAAACACACTGGTTTTTACTGCAAATAGTTTTACTGTTTACTGCACTTTGTTATTATTCTCGATATTTCCCTACAGCGGATGAATCGGAAGTCTCGCACATTCACAGAAAACAGCTTACTTACATATTGAAAAATAAGGTGGACATAATTTGATTAAACTAGCATATATAGACACATATATTATATGTGTCCCTGAAGCACAAAAGCAGTGTTAAGTCGCTGGGGTATATTTGTAGCAATAGCCAACAATATGGGTCAAAATTATTGCTTTTCTTTTATGCCAAAAATCATTAGGATATTAAGTAAAGATCATGTTTCATGAAGATATTTTGTAAATCTCCCACCGTAAATATATTAAAACTTAATCTTTGATTAGTAATATGCATTGCTAAGAACTTCATTTGGACAACTTTAAAGATGATTTTCTCAATATTTAGATTTTTTTGCACCCTCAGATTCCAGATTTTCAAATAGTTGTATCTCGGTTAAATATTGTCCGATCCTAACAAACCATACATCAATGGAAAGCTTATTTATTCAGCTTTCAGATTATATATAAATCTCAATTTCGAAAAATTTACCCTTATGACTGATTTTGTGCTCCAGGTTCACATATGTGTGTTTAAATATATATTAAATTTGTTAATTCATTTTTTTTTTTTTTTACATAAATAGCAAGATTTAAATAAATATTTATTTAGTTAATTTAATTAATATTAAAACTAAATATCTTAATATTTAAATATGTACATCATTATCTTTATATTTGCAATGTTACTATATATTTATACATTTATGTATTAATTATTTAGATTATGATTTAAAATTTGAATTTATTTAACATTTGAACATTTAGATTAATACTGAGATCAATTAAATTTGTTAGTTAATCATTTTAAAAATAAAAAAATTATAAACAGCACAATTCCCAACTTCACTGAAATTATATATATATATATATATATATATATATATATATATAATTCATGAAATAATAGTAAAATGCAATTGAAATATCTCCAAATTTATTTTTAGATTTACAATATTATTATGCATTTTTATTTACATATTTATTTAAATATGAATTAGTTGTTTAGATTCATATTTAAATAGTTTTAAATAAGTTATATAGTTAATACTATTTTTTTAATTGTTTAAAAAAAAAAAAATTACATAAATGACACGCATTGACTTCTAGGATCACTTCTGAACGATGATTCAAATGCATGTGTGAATCTTTTGAATCCTTTAAATGAATCTTCTGAATGAACGGTTAAAATGAGTGTGTTTGACCTGTCTAAGAGCCTCGATCTCCTCGCTGGTGACCCTCCTCTCGCTAGACGTGTTCTTGAGTTTGGCTTCGGCCGCCTCCAGTCCGGTCTGCAGTTTATCCACCTCCTTGATGACCTGATCTCTCTCGCTCATGATCAGTCTATATTCGTTTAGCACAGAGTCTCTCTCCTCCTTCAGCTTCTCGCCGTCTTTCACCGCCTTCAGCTGCAGGGTCTTATAGCGTGTGTTCTCCATCTGCAGTCGATCGGTTTCTCTCTGCAGCTCCTCGTTCTGAGCGGACGCCTTATTCAGCTCCTGCTGGAGACTCTCGAACCTGAAAGAGAACGAGATTTTCTCCTAACAGAACTGAAAACTCTTGAATGACTGATTGGTAGGGATGTAACGATTAACCGCGAGCCGGTTGAAAATTTATTCAAATATGTGACGATTCAAATCAGTTGAGATGCTAAACAAATCGCGATTCATTTAGGGGTAGGTGTTTATATGAATGTGTGTCTGAGGGGAACTTACTGTCTTTAGAAAAGTTTAGATGGTATTTTTTCTTTTCCTCTTGCCTCTGTATAATGCACATTAATGTTCATAAGTGCAGCGCTGCTTTGTTTACAGCCCAAACCAAGGAAACGCTTTAAGCGCCACCTGCTGGCAGAGAGTGCATCTGCGTCTCGTTCAGCTCGTCTGCTGTTTCGGTTTCATGCAGATATTTGTTATGCATGGTTTCACAAAACTGAAGTCAACCCATTCTGGTTTTGCTTCAAATTTCAAAATTATACAATCTAATTTAGATTAAAAATTGCTCATGTTGCATGTATGCAGCATCTTTATTTGGATCATGATTAAAATGCAGTGGTTGCCTCTAATTTTAAATGTTAAGAGCACAGACAAAGCCTTAGTTCGTTTATATGAAGAGATTTATTTTATCTGTGTCATTTATTTGATTTGGGGATTGTTTTAAAATTTCAATTTAGTTTTGGTATTTACATTTACATTATATTAAAATGTTGTAATTTAGCAGACGCTTTTATCCAAAGCGACTAACAAATGAGGACATTATAGTGTTATATTTCAATTTCACAAAGAAACGTGCTCACATTTTATCAACTAATACAGAAGGAAGGTTAGGATTCTGTCCAAACACTAATTGGTATGGACTGTAGCCATGAACATTCAACATACTGTTCTTAGCCATGAGGGCCCAGTCAAGGGCAGTGTGCCAGTCACATCCATTTTCTCGTTTGACCTTCAGGATGATCTCGGTGAGTGTTTGGTTATGTCTCTCGAGTAGTCCGTTGCTCCATGGACTGTATCCAGCTGTTGTTCTTGTCTCGATGTTAAAGTTTTCAGCCATGTCTCTGATTTCTTGGTTGTTGAATTCCCCTCCATTATCACTGTACAGCTTCTGGGGGGCACCATGGACACTTTTCCAAGTGTGAATGAAGGAGTTGACAATTTCAGATGAGGCAACAGCGAGGGCTTGTTTCTTTTTGTCGAGTTCGGTAACTCGCGTCCAGATATTAACTTCATTTTTCCAACACTCGTATGGCCTGGTTTCATCAAATTTCGGCGGAACTTTATAACTAGCTGCCATCCTTCAACCATCCTCTGCTACCATGTTAAATTAAATAAACACGACGTTTACTCAGTTAACGCAATTTATTCCTTCCATCATCCCGCTCACATCAACAACACCGTTCCTTAACAACAACGCCCACTTTTTCCAGCGCGCTCACCTTTTAACCGGTGCATGCACTAACCTTATTTTTAACCCGGAAGAACCTTCTTCCATGTGAACAGAGTAGGGAGGAAATAACATGTTAACAGTTTTTGTGTCTGAGAGAACTTTGGTTAAAGAAGCCCTGTGAAGCCTGATATTTCTGTGCGGTGGTGTTTATGTACTACTGGCACAAAGAGGGAGAGATTAATTTAATAGCATCTGTTATCTAAATTTTAATAGTTAAACTGCTTTTGTGTTTGCAAGTTCAATTTACTTTTGTGAATTAGTTCAAACGATCCACTTTAAATGAATAAATTTAAAACACAGACAAACTGAAACGGTGATCTTTAAGTCTCTGCATGCCCTTTTTTTAAATATACATTTATGTAAATTAAATTTAGATACATATTGTTGTTTATTACAGTTATATTGATGCATATAAATATATATATTTTTATACAAATATTTGTAAAATGTTTAAGAAAAACTTTATGGTTTTTTAAAACTTTAAAACTTAAAACTTTATTCATGGAATAAAGCATGAACTGATACATCCGTACAGTCGGTGGGAGCCTAATGGTTCTGGTTGAAGGGTAAATTCCTGAGCAAGACACTAAACCTCATCACGCTCCTCAGAGTTGTGTGCGCATGTGGCATTGGTACCTGTTGCTGCTGCAGGCGCATGTCTGCCACCTCGCGCTGGTCGCTGTCATGGATCCGGCGCAGCTCGTCGCAGGTCTGCTGCAGCTGTGAGTGCTGCTGCAGGAGCTGCGAGTAGTTCTGCTTCATGGCCTCCATCTCGTCCCGCAGCTGAGTCTGTTCACCAAACACACGCCCGTGAAGAGTGCTGAGAGACCGAGAGAGACAGAGATGCGTTGCTGCATCAGTGAACAGAACAACTAATTAAGCTCCGTTAAATGTGCCAGATAAAATCATGACAATGGAAAAGACTTTACAGAATGAAAATTTGCTGAAAATTAACTTGCTCTGCAGTGAATGGGTGCCGTCAGAATGAGAGTCCAAACAGCTGATAAAAACATCACAATAATCCACAGCACTCCAGTCCATCAGTGAACATCTGGAGAAGACAAAAGCTGAAACAAAACCAGCATTAAGACGTTTTTAACTCAAATACGAGTCCATAATCCATAACTCTTCCTCCAGTGAAAAAGTGTTCTGTTCTGAATCAGGAGAGACATCTGCACAGATCAAGCAGCGTTTACAAGCCAAAACAGCTCTAAACAAATCTGTGGCTGGATTTTGATGTGAGAGACAACAGGAGATGCACTTTTTCACTCGAGGAAGCGTTATGATGGATTACAGACTCGTATTTTAGTTAAAAACATCTTAATGCTGGATTTGTTTCAGCTTTTGTCTTCTCCAGATGTTAACTGATGGACTGGAGTGCTGTGGATTACTGTGATGTTTTTATCAGCTGTTTGGACTCTCATTCTGACGGCACCCATTCACTGCAGAGCATCCATTGCTGAGACACTGATGCAATGCTACATTTCTCCAAACCTGATGAAGAAACAAACTCATCCTGATCTCGGATGACCTGAGGGTGAATACATTTCAGCAAATATACATTTTTGGGTGAAATATTCTAAGGCCAAGGTCATGGGTTCAGTTCCCAGGGAACACATACATAACTGTTCGGCTTGTCATTTGTGAATGCTCAACACAGCAGGAGATTCAATTCAATATATCAGTAATTTCAAATTACACTGAGGGGAAAGTGAATTAAACTAAAGCATTGGGTAATCTCATACGAAGATGGACATCTCTAATCTGTGCTGTGTGTTTGCTTCACCACCAGATGTTACCCTGACTCACGGCAGCCAATCAGAGCCTTCCACATCACGCTAATGAGCACATAATGCTGTGGGCCTATCCTCTCATACACAAACCCTCTGGTTACCCACCTCTACAGCAGCACAGACAGCGTCTGGTGTTTGTTGAGTTGAAGGAAGTAGAGTTCAAATGAACAATAATGGACACATTTAGTGGTTGATCAATATGAATTTTTTTTAAGGCCAATGTCGATATCTTATAGAGCAGGGTGGCTGATGGCCAATATAAAGCCAATATATATGATATTACACCATTTAATTTAAATACCATGAATAACAATTGCTGCAATGAAATCGTAATTTAGTTTACAAAATTACAAAAAAATAAATAAATAAAATTAAAAAAATATATATATATACTGTGTGTGTGTGTGTGTGTGTGTGTATATATATATATATATAAAATCTTTTAAATATATTTAATTTATATTAATATATAATAATTAATATTAATATTATTGATAATTAATTAGTAATACTATAAAATAACTTAAATAGACAGAGTTATGCTTTAGCAACTTATTCTGTAATCTTATTATTTTTCACAAATAAAGCAACAAATATGAATAAAAAGCACAGAATCATATTTTCAAAATATTACTACTGTCAAAATAAAAGCTGTTTCCAACACTCAGCCAAACTCATAAACTCATCAGCCGATGCTGGTAATTTAAAAATATCAAATCTCAGCCGATATATCGGTCGACTACTAGACATGTTATATGAGTTTCTATATGGTTAGAACAAATTGCCCTAATAAAAGTTAAAAATGCCCTTGATAATCAACCCTAGGTGGAAATAGACAGGGTTAGAGCGCTCACTGGTAGTAATCGGCGTCTCTCGCGGCCTCCTCGCATCTCTTCAGGGTTTTGGTGTGCTGGTTCTGGAGAGACTGCAGGTCTGACATGGCCTTCATGCACTGCAGCTTCAGACGCTCGTAATCGTGACCCGGCTTCACACTCGGCCTACACACACACACACACACACACACACACACACACACACACCGATATATGCAAACGTCTCACACTGTGCAAAGTGATTTGGTTATCATTCATCATTTCTGAATCATTTCATTGGGAAGTTTCATGGAGATCACACACACACACACACACAGACATGCACATTCTTCAGGCTCTATCAACGTTCAGGTGAAGAGACACAAAAACAGAGCAAAAAGCCTGATTTATGAAATAGTAATGAAAGTAAACATACTTTATTTATACACATAAAGCACTCTGTCCCATCTCACGCTCACGTACAGATAAGAAAAGACGGACTGTCTAGCAGGGTTATAGTGTCTGAAAGACTGAAACCCTGTTCAATCTCCTCTACATTTACCCCAATCACAGCATGAGAAGCTAGTAACAGCCCAGTGTTCATTTAGTATTATTTATATACTTTTATAGTATTTTATAATATTTTTTTTATATATATTTAGTTTTCATTTTCATTTTAGTTTTAGTAATTTTGTTATGTGCTCTTCTATTTAGCTTTAATTTACTTTTATTTCAGTTTTAGTCATTTTAGTACTTCATCCTAAATTTATTTTATTACAGCAACATTTTTAATCTTCTTAGTTGACGTTTCATCTAACATTTAGATTTTATTTTATTTCAGCTTTATTTCAATTAACAAAAACATAGTCAATAACTGGCTATTATGAACTAAAACACTATATTTAACTAAAACCATTTAAAAATATACAATATATATATATACATATATGTGTGTGTGTGTGTGTTTCAGCTAGTTTCCAAGGCAAATTTTTTTTACTTTTAGTTTTTAGATGTACTAAAATAACAAAACTAAAATTAATCAAAACTGTTCATAAAAACAATTACAAAAATTTTAACTAAAATGAAAATGGAAAATATAAAATATAAAACATCTATCTATCTATTTATCGATCTACCTATTCCAAATATTAATAAAGACTGTAAAAGTATCTCAGTGATACTAAAATAACACTGGTTAACAATAGCAACACTGTTACAGCCGCACTATCAGATATCCGTGACCATAGCTACAGTGACACTGACAGTCTAAGATCGGTTGCCATAGCTACAGTGACACTGACAGTCTAAGATCTGTTGCCATAGCTACAGTTGCACTGACCATCTAAGATCTGTTGCCATAGCTACAGTGACACTGACAGTCTAAGATCTGTTGCCATAGCTACAGTTGCACGGACAGTCTAAGATCTGTTGCCATAGCTACAGTTGCACTGACAGTCTAAGATCTGTTGCCATAGCTACAGTTGCACTGACAGTCTAAGATCTGTTGCCATAGCTACAGTTGCAATGACAGGCTAAGATCTGTTGCCATAGCTACAGTTGCACTGACCATCTAAGATCGGTTGCCATAGCTACAGTTACAATGACAGTCTAAGATCTGTTGCCATAGCTACATTTGCACTGACAGTCTAAGATATGTTGCCATAGCTACAGTTGCACCTGCAGAGATGTGTTGCCGTAGCTACAGTTACTGTGTTACTGTACCTGCAGTCGTCAAAGGTGGTGCCGGGCGAGGAGAGGGCCAGTCGTTTGCGCAGGTCATCTCGTTCGCGGGTCACCTGTCTGAGCTGGAAGATCACCGTCTCCAGTTTCTCACTCATCACATGCTTGTCCAGGTGTGCAGGAGGGGGCGAGGATGCTGGGATAGATAGACATGAGCATCAGTGAATAAAATGACAACTAATATATTAGCATTGTACACTATGTGTGGACTTTCCTACTGAAGAGGGAAACTGTAGGCAAGTGTAGAAGCACAGAGCTTTCAGATGCAGATCAGGACAGACATGTCAGGTTCATAAACTTTTGCTTCAGTTTGAGTCAGCTCTGCTGTTCATACAGATGTTATGAATAAACAATGATTTTATCTGGGCCACTGACGACCCGTCCCATATCTCTCACTGCACAAAATAACAGAGCCGTCTGTCTCGTTTTAGACGTCTAATGGACGGAAGCGTCTCTCAGCTAGTGTCTGAGTTCACTCTGTGTTTTTCCCAGTGAGTCCCAGATTTCTCTGTTTCGCACCAGAAGGACGTCAGGAATATGTGCAGCATTGTAAATCATACACCACCACTGAGTTTGTGAAAGACGTCTATTATGCTCAGCAATGATGCATTTATTTGATCAAAAATACAGTAAAATTGTGAAATATTAGAATTTGAAATAGCTGTTTTCTATGTTAATATGTGTTAAACTGTAATGTATTTCTGTGATGCGCAGCTGTATTTTCAGCATCATTCCTCCAGTCTTCAGTGTCACATGATCTTCAGAAATCAGTGTAATATGCTGATCTGCTGCTCGAGAAACATTTCTGATTATTATCAATGTTGAAAACAGTCGTGCTGCACGATATTTTTGTGGAAACTGTGATGCATTTTATTTTTCAGGATTCACAGATGAATAGAAAGTTTTTTTTAAAAACTGCATTTATTTAAAATAACAATATAAATAAATGTCTTTACTGTCGTTTTTTGAACAATGTAATGTGTCCTTCCTGAATAAAAGTATAATTATTTTAATTACTTAAAATCTTACTGACCTCAAACTTTTGAAAAGTAAACATATAATCCTGATTCAGAAAATAATATAAAAATATAATAAATATAAATATAATACATTTATTATTATTATTATATAAAAATATAATAAATATAAATATAAAAGCCCTTCTATAATTTATCATTTGTAAATTTGTTTTATTTTGAAAGCCATGCCAGCATCCAAGGCTATTCAATTAAAAAAAAACAGGGTAAAAAGATTTTTAATGTCCAATTTTAATAAAAATTCTAATGTCCACAGACTTAACTTTATTTTTAAAAATCCAGGGTAAAAAATAAAACTGTAAAAACACTGTTTGCAATTAAATAAATATTTATTATAATATATTTTATCAAAGAAAATGAAGCTTATTTTAAGAGGATTAAGACTTTTTTGACAATTAAACGCATTTCCCTCCAAAAAAACGTAATTTCTCATTTTTGCAATGCCAAAAAAACTATAATATTACAGCTAGAAAACAGTGAGATGCAATATGATGTTTCTGTCAGATACCTTTGCCTAACAAACACAGACGCTGACCGGACTCACCGACGCTGCTGAGAGAACTGCTGCTCTCCGAGTCCGACGGCATCGCAGACAGAACGCTGCACGTGGAACCTGAAGCAAACAAACAAACATCAACTCCAGCGTCAGAGAGTGCATGAGATCAGTCCGGCTGCGTCTCAATCTGTGTGCATCAGTATATGCCGAGCACGAATACAGGCCGGATCCTCTAAACCAGGAGACACATGAATCGAGTTTCAGCGCGCTGGAACGATGTTAACAATGAACCGGCCTGGAAATGGCCGACTCCCTGGGCAGGGAACTTACTACACGAGACACACCTGTGAGAACGGACGGACATCTCTACTTCCCTCTGAAGTAAACGGCGCAGAGGCCTCCAGCTGTACTGGAGTAACTCGAGCTGGTACCTGGGCTTGAATGGAGACTCAGTTTCTCTCTCAGGACGGGTCTGTTTATTTGCTCGTCTTTCTTTCATTCCACTCCAGAGCAGCCCATGTGCTTCATTGATTTATTATCGAAATTATTTTGAAATACAGTTCTTGTCAAAAGTTTGGAAACATTATAATTTTTAAATGCTTTAATGAAGTCTCCTCTGCTCAGCAAGGCTGCATTTATTTGATCAAAAATACAGTAAAATTGTGAAATATTATTACAATTTCAAATAAGTGTTTTCTGTGTGAATATCTGTTAAACAGTAATTTATTTATGTGATGCGCAGCTGTATTTTCAGCATCATTCCTCCAGTCTTCAGTGTCACATGATCTTCAGAAATCAGTATAATATGCTGATTTGCTGCTCAAGTATTATTGGTGCTGAGTTATTAATAATGGTTCTTATTATTGTCAATGTTAAAAACAGTATTCTGTGGAAACTTTTTCAGGATTCTGTGAATAGAAAGTTCAAAAGCATTTACCTGAAACAGAATGTTTTTACTATCACTTTTGATCAATTTAATGCATATTTGCTGAATAAATGCATTAATTTATATTAAAAACACACACATACCCCAAACATTTGAATGGTATTATATCATGATTTCTGCATAAATATTTAGCAGCACAACTGTTTTCAACATTGATAATAATCAGAAATGTTTCTCGAGCAGCAGATCAGCATATTATACTGATTTCTGAAGATCATGTGACACTGAAGACTGGAGGAATGATGCTGAAAATACAGCTGCGCATCACAGAAATACATTACAGTTTAACAGAGATTCACATAGAAAACAGCCGTTTAAAATTCTAATAATATTTTGAGCAAATAAATGCAGGCTTGGTGAGCAGTATAGACTTCATTAAAAACATTTAAAAATCATAACTTTTGACAAGTACTGCACATTTCCATAAAATGAAAGCTAGTGGGGTTCAGTGTCGCTTTGGACCCCATCGACTTTCATTATACGGACAAAACTTCTTTAAGACATCTTTTGTGTTCTGCAGATGAAAGAACCTCGCTGAAAATACAGCTGCGCATCACAGAAATACATTACAGTTTAACAGATATTCACATAGAAAACAGCTGTTTAAAAATCTAATAATATTTTGAGCAAATAAATGCAGGCTTGGTCAGCAGTATAGACTTCATTAAAAACATTTAAAAATCATAACTTTTGACAAGTACTGCACATTTCCATAAAATGAAAGCTAGTGGGGTTCAGTGTCGCTTTGGACCCCATCGACTTTCATTATACGGACAAAACTTCTTTAAGACATCTTTTGTGTTCTGCAGATGAAAGAACCTCATAAAAGGTCACAGTTTTGACTGTCAGCACTGTGATGGTACAGCGGGGCGGGTTTTGTTTACCCAGCATTATCAGACACGTCCTGATCCGGTCTGATGCGCCGTCCACCTGCTGCCACCCACGAGACGGCGACAGAATGAGCTCTAATCACACGCTGGACACACCACGGAATATTTACTCATAACCATTCAGTGCAATGATGGTAGTACCATATTATACCATGACCAGACCGTGGCACTGGCAATTATTTGCAAGGGAAACATGCACTGAAAGTAGTGTGGTAATACATGATTTAGATGTTTCATTCCTAACACACCCATGCTGAACGCTGTTAAAATATACAGTGAAATAACTAATACACCAGAGTTAATTAACACCTGAAGTTAATTATGATCGTCATGTTCGTGAGGTGTGACACGGCTCAGTGTTACTATAGCGCCAGATCCACACAGAGGCTGAGAGGAACTGGGTCAACAGACGGGAAAACAAGCAGACTGTGAAGTGATGCTGAACGTGCATGAAATATTGACTCCTCAAAGTCTGATCCTAAACCGACTCATCCAAAGAGTCTGGATCTGAATCGATTCAGCCCAGATAGCGCTGTCACGATACCAAAACTAGTACAATTACACGATTCTCAGCACCAGTTTCAGTACTAAAGAAAAAACCTCTGGTACGATTTTATTGAACTAAAAATAAAACATAATAAATAAATGAAATGGGTTAATCAGAGCTGTTATTGTTAACTACAACTAAAACTATTACCATTTTTGTTGAGTGAAATACAGCTGAAATATATGAATATTAAACGAAAAACTGAAAATAATGTTTCCTTGCTAACTGAAATAAAACTAAAAATGAAATGAAAACTTTTGAAATATTTTAAACTAATAAAAATGACAAAAGCACGTAAAATTAGTAAAAATTTTATAAAAATAAAACACATATGTATATACAGTAGATATAGTATATAGATAAGATCATTTATATTTTTTAAATATATAAAAAAATAAAATATATAAAATACAATATAAATATAAAAAGAAATGTCAATTCTAAATATTAATAAAAACTATAATATAAATAATACTAAAATAATGGAGTAAACTGTAATGTTAATAATAACACTAATAAGTAAATAAAGCCATAAAGGATTAGCAAGCAGCCTTAAATAAAAATGCTTTAGTAATAAAACAAAGAGCAAAGTAACATAACAAATATTCAAAAAAGGGTAAGTGTATTAATCTGCATTTACACCTCAAAATGTTGTGTCAATTACTTCATATACAGTCCCTATCTCAATAGGGACTGTGTTTGTAAAGCTCATATAGCATCATCTGTCATTTGAACTACTTTTATGAAGCTAAAATTACTCCTTTAAGCCAACACCTTGATAAACTGAACACTGTTTATTTATCTAACGATGACCTTTCACGATAAAGTATTCTTCAGCATGTTTTACAACCAAAACAATGCAGAGAACAAGTCAATAAAGACTACAAATATTCTGACTATAATAGAAAAACAATCATTCTGGGTGTGTAAGGACAGGACGTTTTGTGCGTGTGTGCATGCGTGTGTGTGTGTGCGTGCGTGCGTGTGTGTGGGTGTGTGTGTCCCGTCTGACATTTAAACCGAGTGCAAGAAGCTTGGCAAAGTACGGACCATAAACTGGACTTCTATTTAATTCTCTCCCACTCACACAGCTGTGAGCCGGACAACGGAAACTTGGACCTGACAGAGAAAGGCGCTCAATCTGTTGAGCCCTCTCTGTGTGTGCCAGACGGCATGCTGGGTAGAATCTCTGTGTCCTTCATTACTCACAGCCCTGAGAAACTGACCCCTCTATATCAGCGACTGGACAGAGTCACGACAGCTCATCTCTCCAGACCAACTCTAAACTCGGCTTCCGCATGGGGCTTCATTACAGGTCATCTTCATCAGCCCGAGACTGATGACTGAAGTTTAGAAGGATCACGGCATTACAAACGCAGAAGAATGAGGAAAAGAGTTTGTTTCTTTGTGTAGAAATGTAGCATTGCATCAGTGTCGCAATGGATGCTCTGCAGTGAATGGGTGCCGTCAGAATGAGAGTCCAAACAGCTGGTAAAAACATCACAATAATCCACAGCACTCCAGTCTATCAGTTAACATCTGGAGAAGACAAAAGCTGAAACAAATCCAGCAAGACGTTTTTAAAATGTTTTAGTTTTTAAAAACTAAAATACCATGGAGTCCATAATCCACAATAATGCTTCCTCAGGAGAAAAATCTGCACAGATCAAGCACCGTTTATAACAGTCCAAAACAGCTCTAAACCAATATTTGGCTGGATTTTGATGTGAGAGATAACAGGAGATGCACTTTTTCACTGGAGGAAGCGTTATTGTGGATTATGGACTCGTATTTTAGTTAAAAACGACTTAATGCTGGATTTTTTTCAGCTTTTGTCTTCTCCAGATGTTAACTGATGGACTGGAGTGCTGTGGATTATTGTGATGTTTTTATCAGCTGTTTGGACTCTCATTCTGACGGCACCCATTCACTGCAGAGCATCCATTTCTGAGACACTGATGCAATGCTACATTTCTCCAAACCTGATGAAGAAACAAACTCATCTACATTCTGGATGTGCATGAGGGTGAGCACATTTTCAGCAAATTGTCATTTTTGGGTGAACTATTCCTTTAAACGTGTTTTTTAATAACCTATCACTTAACCTCAGATCTCTCGTCAGGTTCTGCTTTGAAAGGTCTTTATCGCTAAACATCAATGGTATTTTCCTTCTGGAGCATGGCAGTTGCTCTCTATAGGGCTTTTATATAATTAAGGCCATCAGCTGGCCTATTATATAGACAATCACTCGGGATCCTATTTTTTTAATTGATTGAAGCACATTTGATTCAGCCCAGAGCGTCGGGACACATCAGCGAGAGTGGAAATGATCAGAGACTAAACAGGCCCCCACTGAGGTTTATATTGACGACCATCATAGATCTCTAACTTGTCTAATTGATCGGCGATGCTCCATTTAACAGACAGACTCTAAACGACGCTTTCTTTCAGTCTGTCTGGAACGGCTGCACTGGTGCAATATTACTCGCATGTGTTTCTATGTCATCCAATCAGATTCCTGTAACATGGGTTTAATGGCTTTCTAGGTAATGTAATTTGATCCAGCTTTAAGCTGCATTATTTTATAGTCGGCAGCTATTTCTGGCTTGCGGCTAAATCCCTGCATGTCTGATGAGTTTTTCTGGCCGCAGGAATCTTAGAAACATCTGTAAAACATTTACTGTACGATGTTTCGCGCGGCAGATTTACACAACAGGTCAGTCGCAGCTTTATAAAGCGTTACGCACCGGCGGTCTGTGTTTTCTACATCAGCTGAACATCTCAGCATCTGTCTGACCGCATCCAGAGCATCACAGACCACAAGACACGCCAAACCGCTCGATTCAAAGAATGAATGCTTCTGACAGAGTCAACTAAATATTACATACAACACATACACGCAATAATCCGAAACATTTACATGTGGCCACAACCCGGTCTGACGTGCCAAAACCGTTTTAAGCAATATTATAAACATAATTCATGCATAGTAGTTTATTATACATGCAGTTATGATTTTATATTTAGAAACTATTTTTAATATTTGTACTTAAAAATAAATACACAAATGCACATAAAATATAAAAACAAACTTACAGATTCATATATAGAACGATATACAGACAGACAGACAGACAAAGAGTTATTAAATATTTAAATTATATGTATGGCACATTATTATTTTCATATATGAGCATCAGACAGACAGACAGACAGACAGACAGACAGACAGACAGACAGACAGATAGACAGATAGATAGATAGATAGATAGATAGATAGATAGACAGACAGATAGACAGATAGATAGACAGACAGAAAAGGTATTAACTATTCAAAATACATGTGTGGCATATATTATTATATGCATATATAAGCCTTAATATTCCCTGCATGGCTTCTATATGTTGAAAATAGCTCACATCATTATTATTGGTTGATGTACTGTTTACAGTGTACTGCTGGTCAGAAACCAGACACTCGTCTCCACTGCTGGAGCGACAGCCAGCTAAACTACACCAAACTAACGTGGATGGACTTAGTAAACTTTGCGAGAAGGTTCTGAAGGTTTCCCTCTCGATGAGCCGAGGCTCGGTGGAGGTGTTACCCGAGCTGTGGTGGTTCTCCACAGGCAGCAGAGCGCCGAGCAGCAGCGGCTGGGTTTTCTCCAGAGCCCAGCAGAACTCCTGGAAATGGTCCCGGTCCTTCTTCTCCAGCAGCGTCCTGAGGAGCAGCAGGACCTTCTCGGCGCCGCCGGAGCTGTTGGCGTCCAGCTCCGCTCTCTCAGCCGGACTCAGGCAGCCTGACTGGGCCAGCAGCTCCAGCACCCGGTCCACATCTGTGACGGACTCCGACAACTTTCGCTGGCACTGCTCTAACAACTCTTTGTGCTTGGGATCCATCACAGAGCGACACAAAGCGCTGAAAACAACGACGCTCCGGTTAAAGAGTGTTCTGTGTGAAATTGAAAGAAACGAGAAGCCATATTTATTGCGACTTCAGGAGACTCCAACGGTTTTTCCTTCTTCTTCTTCTTCCAAAATGTAAAACAGCAAAACAATTATAAAACAGTAAACAATATTGTACAAAAAACATACACTGACACAAATCAGTTATATTTTAGTATAACTGAGATACTATTTAAGTTTTTATCAATTTGTTTTTAGTTTTAATTTTAATATTACCTGAAGTTTTTTTAAGTAATTTTGCTGCGTTTTGTCATTTTTATTAGTTTTAGGGATTTTAATGTCTATATAGTTTTTTTTATTTTTGTTTTAGTTTTAGTATTTTAGTGCATCAAGTTAAATTGAATGAAATAAAATCAGTTAACGGTTTTTTTTTATTTCAGTTAACATTTTTTTAAGTGTCAAAAATAATAATTATTATTTATGGTTTTAGTTTTAGTTAACTATAATAACCCTCATATATACTTCCAAAAAGCACTAGAAATAGAATCCAAACACTGATGACATGTTAAAGATGGTCAATCTGTTTTGATCAACGGAAACTGCAATTAATAAATTGACAAACATTTAAAAGATGCCCCAACATAACTTTTATGAGAAGCACTCTTGTTCTGTTCTGTACTTTTCTTTCCAGTGTAGCGTTAAGACTGATTTGAGAGGATTTGTTGATGAATGTTCATGCATTATTCTTGCAGTGTACAGTATAAGCTAAAGCTGCATGTGCATTGAATGTTTAAATGTGAATCTCTGATGATCAGATTACAGTCAGCTTTACATAATCTCCATCAGACAAACTCACTTTAAAGCAATCATCAAAAAACACTGAATATAATAATATATTTGTTTGTTTATAATTGTGTACTATGCCAGCAACCACAGCTATATTCCAGTGAGAAACAAGTGAAAAACAGAAAAAGTCAAACTAAATAAATAAATTATATATAAACAACAAATAAAAGCAAACATTTCTAAAAGTTTTTTTTATTGATTTAGATTTTTTTTTTTTTATCTAAAACTAAATCTGGTCTCACTTCATTAACTATAATATAATATAATATAATAGTTAATCAATCAGAGAGACATAAGTAAGCTAAAGTTCATTCATGAAATGTTTTTATTAACCAGACACAAATGTTACTAAACACAACAGTACAGATTAGTTTGATTAAGTAAACATACTAAAAACACAGGCAATATATATCCCTGAAAAAGAGTAGTCTTTATGTTAATAAACAGGTCAGAATGTCCTGTTTAACTAGTGATTATCAGGATGAAAGATTGCTGACTTTACTGCCGCAGCGATTCATTCATGCTAGTCAGGGACGATGATAACAAAAAATACATGAATCTCACAAAACGAAGCATATTTCACCCTAAACTCCACAAAAGAAAATGTTTTGCATGAATGAAAAATCTATTTAGGAGCCATAAATATGCATTACCATGATGCAAAAATATTATTTAAAATTGTTTAAATTGTAAAAAAAGAAATGTTATTAAACAATGTTAGTATTTGTTGTACAAAATATTAACATAAAATAATTAGCTTGTATTATATAACAGCATTTATTAAGAATCACTGTTCAGAAAAATGTGAAAAGAAACACATAAAATGACGTGTTTCAGGAAATTAAGCAAAAAAATGGCATGAAAAAAGTGTGATAATGCAAACAGATCTCAGAGTTCCTAAAACAGGCTTGACTTTCTTTAAGCAAAGCTCATTTCTTGTTTTCCGTTTTGATTTCGAGATGAAATTTGACACGTTTTCATGAGACTGACCCATCAAGACCTTCATGATGATTGACATAATTCTATATTCTTCTTGCATAGAGATCATAAAGCTCACTATACAAAAACTATGGCATATATTTCAGTACTTCAAGAGACTCATGACGTATGTAGTTTTGGATGCGAGCGACAGCACAGATTTGGCATCAGGTACTGAAGACACTGTACAAAATATTGATTTTCTAGATATCATGCATAGTCTGAACAGATAGCAAAATAAAAGAAATGATAACATGCATTAGGATAACAATGTCTCTAAGGCACAAATGAAATGTTATTTTTGGCTGTGAACATAATAAAGATGTGAAGAGAGAGATTACAGCATTAGTTAACATGACACTAGTGAGATTATCTGACATATTGATATATGAGCGTGATTAATATGACGTCACATATCCCAGTCGTCATGGTAACGCGTCTGACTTCCTGGCTCTTCAGTCACTTCCTCCACACAGCTTCAGGAGCAGTTTCTTGTAATCGCCAGTCGTGTCACCCTGAAGATTTCAGGAAAATAATATGCTAACAAATATTCACAACAGTCACAATATTCTATTTCTAGCTACGGAAGCACAAATAAACTCTTAGATGTATTAATTAATTATACTAAAAAAAAGTTACTAATATAATATATAAATTGATAATTAAAACCAAAAATGTATAAAAGGTTTTAAAAGTTTATCTTGGATAATAAATAACAAAATCGAAAACTAAATCTGGTCTCACTTCATTAAAAATATTTTCATAAAATAAAATATTAAAATAAAATAAAATAAAAATGAATAATCAAAACCAAAAATGTATAAAAGGTTTAAATGTATAAAACGTTTATCTTGGATAATAAAAAAAAAAGAAAAAAACTAAATCTGGTCTCACTTCATTTAAAAAAATAATGTAATAAATTAATAAATTAATAATGTAAAAATAAAATAAAATTGTTTGTTTATAAATTAGCAAACACCGCTATTTTCCCGGCAAGAAACAAGTTAATAAGAAAGTAAATAAACAACTAATATATTATATTAGTTGAGGTATACCTATGATGAAAATTACAGGCCTCTCTCATCTTTTTAAGTGGGAGAACTTGCACAATTGGTGGCTGACTAAATACTTTTTTCCCCACTGTATATATATATATGCACACACACACTTAAAAAAATCTAACGTTTTTGATAATATAATATATTATAAAATAATAAATATGTTTTGTTTGTTTATAATTTAGCACCATGCCAGAAACCACAGCTATATTCACAAGGAAAAGTTAAAAATAGAAACTGCTGAACTAATAGTGTTGCAAATGCATGTTATCGTTTGCTTTTTAAAGCAGAAGAACCTCACGTGTGCTATTCAGTGCTCTTGCATACACTCAAATCTGTGGTCTGCAGCTGAATCAGTGGGTGACACAAGTTTCCCACAGCGACATATTGTGTGAGTGGACATTTGTACGTCATACTAAGAAAGTATAGGGACCGTGCAGTATATTGAACATGTGTGTGTGACTTACAGAGATGGCAGTGTAGAGCGACTTCCCGTACTGACGCAGATACTCCTGTCTGATATCCAGCATGTCCACCTCAGAGCGGGACACCATGATGCGGATCAGAGTCCTGTCTTTGGTTCCCACACCCTAAATAAAGGTGAACATCAACAGCTCATGCATGCATATTGACCCACAATGAGATTTTACTAACATTCATACATATGCTTTTCAGAAAACAAGCCTCATGCAGCACAGTGAGGCCAGAAAAGTACAGCGTACATAGAAATAACCCACGTCTAACCATCAGATCTGCTACTGAATGACAAAACCATAGCAAAACAACCACATAACCACATTTTCTCTACCTGCATGGCTTTGTGGAGACGTTCAGCAAAGTATGCAGCAGTGTTTTTAATGCACTTCACTGAAAAAAACACACAGATGGAACATGATTATAAACTTGAACTACACATTACTTCACATTATAGAAAGAGGAATTTAATCAGTTGCAGAGAATCAATTTTAACATTCATGTTGCAACTGCCTTTAATTTTACTATGTTTAGGGACTATTAAATCAACACATGTATGGTAAACTTTGGCTAAAACAAGAAATTTTGATATCTTATAACTCCATAAATCAGAAAATGCTGTTTTTAGGGGAAAAATTTTTATATAAATCAGTGCGAATGATATATGAACAAATCCCTCAGTAAAAAACGTCAGAATACAGAGAGGAATAAAACTGCTAAGTTTGGTGTATGTAAGATCTGCTGAAGTGGAGAAAAAACTTTTAAAGGTTTGTATTGTAACTGAAATCTTTAGACATAAATAAATAAAGTGCAATAATAAAATTAGGCCAATTATATATGAACAAACCCCTCATTAAAATCATTCAGAATATAGATAGGAATAAACCTGCTAAGTTTGGTGCATGTAAGTGATACTGAAGTGGAGAAAAAAACTTTTAAATATATGTGCAGTATTGTAATTAAAATCTACAGAAGCAAATAGATAAAGTGCAAAAATAAAATAAGGCCAATGATGCATGAACAAACCCCTCAGTAAAAACCTTCAGAATATAGATAGGAATAAAACTGCTAAGTTTGGTGTTTGTAAGTTGTGCTGAAGTGGAGATAAAAACTTTTAGAGATATGTACTGTAATTGAAATCTACAGACGCAAATAGATAAAAGTGCAATAAAAATAACACATGATTGTGTATTTTGGATTTTTTTCCTTCAACTAGTCTGAAAAAAACACAAGTTATGGAAGCAAAACAGGCCAAAATCTTAAACGTGACCCGTGCATGAAAAAAAAAACAATGGTTTTGCCTATTGTGTCATGTTTGCATATGTAAAACATTTAGGCATTTTACTCATCATAACCTCCAATCTGCATCTTATTCAAAACAACTGAGTCTATTCCAGTGCTGTGACCAATCAGGGTCCAGTACCCACCCACTGCCACCATTCCAGACTCCACGTTTCCAGACATCTCACTGCAGATGCTCTTCTCAATGTCTTTGCCGCACATCTGCTGGTACTCATGAAACACTGAGAAAGACATTGTGTCCAAACATTACGAACAATCTGTCAAACCTGGTGCAATGCATCATTTAATCTGCATTATCAGGGAATAATGACTTCATATTCAGTCTGTTCCTTACACAAAACTATCAAACTACTTCTAAAATAGTGCATAGACAAATGTGACCCTGGACCACAAAACCAGTCATAAGAAAATTGAGATTAACGCATCATCTGCCGCACATCTGCTGGTACTCATGAAACACTGAGA